TCATTCCTGGGGTGGTTTCTTTACGGAAGCAGTAGAAGCAATATGATCTCGTTGCAGTAACTAGATTGCACTATGTACTTTGTAGACCATATCTTTTCATTTGGTTCAATCGTGCAGACGATGATGATCATCTACTTCAAGATTCAGACAATCCACAAATGTTCCACCTCTTGCAAGGCACAATATCAATTTCCTCCAAATCCACAGTGAGCACATAGGGTTGGCAACGGGATGAGTATGGGACGGGTTGGTCATTCATATCTCCGTCCTGTCAAGTATTTTTGTTATCTTACCCTATATCCATACCTGATTAAAGCGGAACGGGGCAGGACGGAGCAAGTATCCTGTCTCATTTATTTTTTCTTTTTATTTTTTATGTCCTTAATTAGTAAATAGTATTACTTTTTCAGCAATTTGTTAAAAACAACTTATGTTCTTTTTAAAAATGATGATAAATCTATTATTTTTGTTTGATAAAAACTTAAATTTGAAATTAATATTAAACGGGACGGGGACTATGTTTCTCGTACCTGTCTCATACCCACTTCGGGAGAAAGACTCTCGCCCCATACCCATCCCATGTACCTGGTTAGGCGGGTATTACCCACCCCATTCGGGGTGGGGCCCCACGAATATCGGGTTAAACGGGTTTTTTTGTCATCCCTATGAGCACAAGACCAGGTACTCGATGAACAAGGGAAAGCAAGGAAACTCTATTAAGAGGTGAATCTTCCCATCATTTCTGTTTGATTCTCGTCATAAAGATTGAAGGGACCTCCGTAGATTATTACCAAGAGAGATGTGGGCAACTCCTCCCAAGGGTGAATATATCGGTTTTTGGGAGAATTCGCTTTCTTGACAAGTGCATCAACCAACACTTGACACTGGATTGGAATCAGAAGTCAAGAGGCAAGCGAGAATCTTTAACTATCAATCATGGTTTTGCATTAACTATCATGGTTTTGCATTATCCACGTCGCAATGACATAAATACCAATTTTTACCCTCAAACAACACAGAGCAACTGACCTAGTCACTATACGAGTCGTCCCGATTAGGATTCCACCTATCACGTCGACGTGAATTTCTACTGTGCTTAGAAGAACGTTCTTCCTTGTCCATGTAGCTTCTTTCTTCAGATGACGTATCTAGGCCAGAAAACTTTGTTTCATGCCGATGAGAATGTCTTCCTCTTTTGTGATGCTTGTAATGGTATTCTTCCCTGTATACGGACTTCTCTCCGCCAATCGAGCGGTCTGGACTAGCCGACTTTTCAAGCTGATGGACAGATACACTTCGCTTCTCATGCTTATGAGAGTCTTCATAGTCCACGCTACTTCCTTTTCTTCGTGGTGGTGATGGGATCTAATTACATAATTGAAGAAAAATGAAATGCTCTTACCCGCAGCGACAAGCTCGATAACAAGTTCAATGATTTGCAATGATTGAAAGAAAATGAACTTGATCACCAACCGGAGAATATGAAGGCTGATAAATGGTTAAAATTAAATAAAAGTTGCTTACTTGAAAGCGTGACATGTATCTTCCTTCAGGGGGAGGTGGTATGCCAAGCCTCTTTAAATCATCCCATGGAATTTGTCTCCTGATCTCGTAACAAATAATTTATGGAAGTTCAGAATGCATCTTGGTCGAGTCTTTAACATAGATTGCTTCTTGGTGTTAACA